ACAAGTTGCATGAAAAAAAGTTTCCGCTGAGATCACTTGGCAATCAAAATGGCAAATGATACCACCTTTAAAGCACCTAGGGGAAAAAATGATACAGAGCAGAAGGAAAAGGATAGAAGACAGAATGAAGCAGAGAGGGAACTCTTAGACAATTAGGACTGGCACCTAAACACAAATTTGCTGTCTGAACAGGTAGCTAAGAAAATGACCAAGTCATAAGATGTGTCTGCATACACACGCATCTGCTTCTACACATGCACACATCTTTTTTCATCCTCAGGCTTGAGGAGACCGCACTTGAGGAATTCCAGGCAGCTCTGTAATAAAAAGTTTCACAGAAAGGAATCTATAGAGAAGAACCAGTAGCATTTGAGATCTGTATTACTGGACTCCAGAACAACAAGGGGAAAAATACTTCTTAACATCAAGATCCTAGTCCACAGATTTCCAATCAGGTCAGCAATCTCTCAGTGGAAGCATAAAGGCTCTACTGACCAAGAAATACAAAAGCCAAACCATAGAACACAATAAAACTAGTTTGAACAAGTATCATAACGTGGTCTTTGTGACTAAAGCCTATTTCACTCAGGCTGCTCTGCACAAATCAGACAGAAATCAAGGTGAGTTTAAAAAAACAAAAATCCCCTAAGCATCAACCGAAACAGAATTATCAATAGAAGTCCAGGACTCCCCAGAGAGTTCCCTGTAACTTCAAAAAATCTGAACATTTACAAATCTACTTGATGATCCAGGAATAACAGTGCTCATCAAAGTTTTCTGACCTGCAATGGTATCCTAGCTATGAAAATCACAAAGAGGCAGGAGTTAGAAGAAAATTCATAGCGCTAATAGAGGCAAGGCCACCCCAAAATGCCCCAGTCTTACAGTCATATACCTGGTATATAAATTCATCAATGATATCCCAGAGCCACTGGTTGGGCAGTTCCAGAGGAGCAGGGCCATCAGCATCTGCAGAAGAATGTAACAGATGAGAGGCTTAATACCTTGAGCAAGAACAGTGGCAGAACTCGAATAGACAAATTAAAGAACACAAGAATTTCCCTGAAATGGGAGATGCAGCAGCAGATGAATGAAGCTTCCAGCAGGACGGTGATATGTAGCCTTGCCTACCTCAGCTGCCTTCACTTTTAAAGAATACGAGCATGTATGGGGTTAATCTCTAGAGAGTGACTGCTCAGCAGCAGTGATACTCAGAAGCTGCGCACAGACTGTAGGGTTTATCCCAGCTGAGCTCTTTTCCACAAGAACTTTGGCAGGGAGTCACTAACACTAAAATTTCTTCCGAGGGGAGTCAACAACAGTAAGCAGTTGTGAAACACTGCAAGTTTTCTCTAGCTTACAGATTCATTTTGCTTTTTACTAAAGATAGGTGAAGCAGTTCTCAGCAAGATAGAAAGCTAAATAAGTTTTATTCTTTACAGTATTTCAGAAAGCACTAGAAACTATTGGTGCTTTTTGTCATTTTAAATGCATGGATGTAAAGTGCTTTCCATTGAGCAAACTCAAACATATGGAAAGCTCATAGGCTATTTCTTCCTATATGGTTTATAAACAAACATGTTCCAGTTCTTTGGACCCTTACTCCAGCTCTGCCCTCTCCGTAATTCACAAACCAGAAATGAATGGCAGCAACTCACTGAGGATGTAGTTGAAGAGATTGCAGTAGTTGTAATAGGATTCAAATCTCTGCTCCAGCGTGGGCCCCCCCTGCAGTGAGAAGTCAGCACAGACTGCTTAGTTTCAAGTATGGCAGGAGTGAGTTTACGGGCAACAGCGTATGACAGACAGTCAATAGTCACAGCAGTAAAGGGTCTATTTCAAAAATGTTAGAGGCAATATTCAACCAGGACACCCACCAGCACTACTCAGAAAACCTGAAATTGTATCACCATTGTGCCACAGAATAGAGCTGATTCTTGACATTCAGGTAGCTTCTCCCACGACGACCGAGCATTCAAACCTTCTGTGAATAGGATGCATTAACCTTCCTTGTCCTCTCTGCTGTTCAGACTTAAGAGCTTCCTATTACCTTCAATAGCTTTCCTTCCTTCTCCCCTCATGAGAGGCCTTAATAAAGCAACAATTCTGCTTCTGGACAGTATTTCTAATTGCTTTGAAAGACCAGTAAACACAGCAGGGAATTGCTCTTCCTACAATCACCTTTCTTGTTTCACCTGGAGACTTTCAGGGGCAGCCTGAGAACCACTAACAGCACAGCTTGAGAAACCAGTCTCTCCTGTTAAAGCCTGACTGGGGTTAATACAGCAGCCTTTTTAAAGTGTCCACTTCTCCACCCTCTGGTCCAGACCAAAACTGCAGTTATTACTTATTTTACCCCATAAGTGATGATGTATATGTTCAGCTTCTTTCCTTAAAGAACAAATAAATACTATGATTTTCTCAATGATTTCAAATTAGCCCAAGGGAAAAAAAAAAAAAAAAAAAAAAAAAAGTGAGGTTTGGTTTGTTTTATAGAGCATTACAACTTCTATTTCCTCCTCCCGAATCCTTTATGGTGTCAGTGTTTCCCTCTCCACAAGGCACTCTGACCCCATGTGGTTTTTTTAATCACAAATAATGCACCCTCTTCTTGTGACACCCCCTCTCACACACCTGCTAATCTGAAGAACAAAGAGCCACAAGGAAACACACAAAGCCAACTGATCTATAGGCCTATCAAAAAGAAAAGTCAGTTAGCTCCCAACACCTCCTCCTTCCCTAACTCACTAACCACTACATTTGATGTCAGTAACAAACTTTTACCTAACAGCCTCCTGAAAACTCAGACCATGTCTTCTGATTCACATAAGCTGCCAGGGAAACCTGCACACTCATTACTACCAAGCTTGAGGAGACAGCTAACGAGACTCAGAAAGACAATCAAGTCTTTCTTGTTTTTCAGAAATCAGTGAATCCTTACTAAACTAACAAAAGGCAAGAATTTTAAGCTACCCTAAAAGCAATTTGACTTATAGTCCATAAGCCCATACTATCATGCCTTGCAAAAATTATGGAACCACTGATACTGTGGTAGCAGCAAGATTTGGTAAGTTCTATGGCACAAAGTTGGCATGCAACCAACAGGAAGAGACAGGACAAACACTCACGCTGACTTTGGCGTAGATGTGCCTGTAATACAGCTCCTTGTATAGGATGAGGAAAACAGCATCTGGAAAAGATGACAGAACTGGACATTAGTAAGCCACAAGGCTGAGCCAACTGGATCTCTCAGATATTATTGTGGCAGGAGGAGCACCACTGGCATAAAGGGAGGCACAAAAGGACACTTCCTTTGGTTTTGACTTCTCACCTGGCCCCTACTGAAGGAGTTGCCAGAGCAAACAACTATAACTGACTTAGGTGGCAGCAACAATGCATCTGCCCATTCATGTATCAGAAGTAATTTAGTTCCTTCTTTCTCTGACAAGCAAAGAAAAAAGTAAAGACTTACCGTTTCCAACCTGAGGGGCAATGGCCTCAGCCTCTGGCCATGGGGTATTCTTAAAAAACCTCTCTGTCAGCTTTGTCCAGCTGAAAGATAGACACACATGTGGTATTAGAAAATTCCTCCCAGTATGAGGCTGCTGGAGGTAGCAATGACAATATAGAGGCCTTGAACTTGATGAAAATAGAATACCAGTACCACCCACTTTTAGTTAGTCTGGAGTTGAAACAAAGAATGAGACTGGCAAACTAAACAATTAAAGTCTTCAATTTATCCCTGTAGAATGGAACAGTAGAGTCTGTTACTTTCACATTCCCTTTATGGTAAGGTAACATAGCTAATCAGCAGGAGTAGAAGTATCTGTAGGGAAAAGACACAACAATTCCACCTCACAGCTTTCTGCAGGCTGCCTAACTAGCGGTACTGAGGTCACCTTCTGTCGCCTCCATACCTGTTAGGCACAGGACTGGCATTTTCCTTCAGACAGGTCACAACTAACCTAGGCTAACATTAGACTAATTGCCTAGAAATATGTTTTTTTCACCAGTGATCAAATCAAACCTAATGCTGTATTTTAGAGGAAGCCCAGGTTTGGTACAAGGCAGCTAGTCAGCCTTTGGTTTTAAGAGCAGGGTGCACTTCCATCACAGCTTAAAGAGTGACTCCGATTGAGGGAAAGATGGCTCTGTACCTGTTTTCATAGATGTCTTGGATCTCGTACACCTTCTGATCAATCACGTCACTGGAAACACGGCTAGCCTGGAGCTCGTACACCTTCTGGTCAATGAGGTCCGACACCGTCTTGTGAAAATACTGAATGAAGTTTTTGATCACTTCGGGGATCACCTGGTAGGTCTGCTGCTCGTACTGCCGCTCGTAGGCCAGGTCTTGCTTCGGGTCTCCTGAGGGGAAAGCGGAGCAGTGAAGGCGGCTGCCCCCCGGGCCTACAGACCCAGGCGGGCGCCAGCAGGCCCGGTGCACCCGAGGGGCCGCCGCAGCCGCGGCCCGCACTCACCCGTGTGCATATCATAGTCGTTAGAGTAAGCGTAGGGGTCGTAGGCGGCCTGTGGAGACAAGGCGACAGCGAGTCATCGCAACCAGCCCTGACACGACCCCCGCCCCGAGTCCCGACCCCCGCCCCGCACCTCGTTGTCGTAGTCCTCCCCCGGGTAGGCCATGGCGGCGGTGCGGCAGGGAAAGGGCTCCGGGCGGCAACGTGGGCCCGGGAGGGGGTAGGACCAGGGGCGGGTCCTGAAAGGGATGCGCCCTTCCACTGGTTGGAACAACTGCCTGTCTTCAGCCTGCCGAACGGCCACTGGCCTGGTGCTGCCCTCTCTCCCTCTGACTGGATAGTCTGCCTGCCCGTCAGACCTCCCTGGGCACCGCCTCGCCTCTCTACTCGCCTTCCTTCTGCCCACACCCTCTCCCTCCCCATTGGCTGCACGCACAGCGGTGCGGCGCCTTCGATTGGTCGAGCGGACACGGCCCGCCCCGTTGCTATAGCGACGGCCCCGACCCTCCCCTCCTCCCCCCCCTACCCCCGCGCGGCGGCGCCGCCTGGGCCGTGAGGGGATGGAGGGAGGCGGCGGGGCCGCGGCAGCGCCCGAGGCGGCGCCGGTGCCAGAATCTGAGTCTGATCCGGGATCGGGGGCCGGGCTGGCGCTGGGGGGGGCGGCGGCGGCGGCGGCGGGATCCCCCCTCGGCTACCTGCACGTCCTGTGGCAACGGGAGGAGCCCGCGGGCAAGATCCCGGCCCGCCGCCTGCGCAGGGCCGCCCGCCTCCACCGCCGGCTGGGGCCTACGGGCAAGGAGAGCCACGGTGAGCGGGGAGCGCCCCTTTCTTCGGCCGGCCTCGGCGGGGTGGAAAGGCTCCGATCTGGGGAGCCGGCAGAGCTTTGGCTTTCCCCTGTGCGGGGTCGGGTCTGCTCGGTGGGCGGCTTGGGAAGGCACCCGTGGTGCTGCCAGGGGAGGGCGCCTGCCGGGAAGGGGGAGGGCCCGTGGGCTGCCTCAGGAGGAGGCGAGGAGAGCACTTCTTACCTGGCACCTTGATCTCCTGCTTTCCCTTCTCCGGGCTGAGCCGGGACCGGCGTGGTTGGGGCCCTACACGGGGGTGGGATGTTTCACTAGGGAAATGCTCCTTTTTCCTCTGTGCTTGCCAGTAATTGTTTTCTTTTCTCCGTAGCTCTGAAAAGGCTGCGTGAAGCTGCCAATAGCAATGACTTGGACACAGGTAAGACTTCTGCCAGTCCTACTTGGGGACCTCTTCCTGGAAGGGCAGTTCTGTTGAGAACCTTTATTTTAGGAGGGGAGGAGGAGGATGCAGGTAGCTTGTGGGCATGGTGCTTTAGGTGCTGCAAGTCTAGAAACTGCTTTTCTGGAGCTTTGTTTCATCCTCTGAGCAGAGTGAGGCTGGTTATGGTATGCACTTTTTCACTGCATCTGGTTCATAGTGTTAGTTTTCCAACTGCCTCAAGCTAAATCAGCACTACGTTATTCCAGATTTTTTGGTATGTAACTTTTAACCGACTGTAAGCAGCAAGAGGGTAGTGTTTTGGTATGGTGGAAAAGCTACAATTATCTAATCCATAACCTGTGTGATGAGACAGTGTGACCCTATAGATCAGAACCAGGATCAGTGCTGGACTCTGCCTCTCAGAGTGACTTCAGAGAAGGCTTGTGGCCTGTCTGTGACTCCCTTTGCCTCTCTGTACTGTAGATTAGGTGGGGTTTGATTTGAAGTGACCAGCAGCAATACTGGTGTTTATTATCTGCCCCTTATCACTGTCCCTCCTTAGACTATACTGTCCCCTCAGCTGTGCTGGCCTAACTTTATCGAGCCATTCTGTGAACAGAACTGGAAACTGGTTTGACTTTTAGAAACTCCCAGTATATCAGAACAGGGGGTTGTCTGTCGTGCTTCACCCTTCGGCACCACAATACACCTTGTGTCGTGACCTGTTGGAGCTCTGTTGGTGCAGAAAGGCTTGGCTTTACTCGCCAAGTCAAGAGGAAGAATGAAAGGGTCAGGCTTTACGAAAGGCTTGGTTTCAATCTATCTTAAGAGTTTTACACCTGTATTTGGTACACAGGGCCCCCTGTTTACAACCCTGCTTTGTTTTATGTACTCTGCAACTTGAGGAAGTGTCTGAAGTTGAATTTATTCTTCATCGACAAGTAAAAATCTTTGTTTCCTGTGGTGGCACTGAGTGGGAGAGGTTATGTCATTTCCTACTGCCTTCGGGGAAGGAATAGGTAAAGCATTCCCCATTAATGATTCTCACTGGTGGCACTGTCAGTCTTCCTGTCTTTCTTCTGGGGTGTCAAACATCCCTCGTTCATTCCACTTCCATCTTTTCAGGCGTTTCTTTCACTTCTGCACCCCATTTAAAGCAGTAGGTGTACAGGAAGAAATTAAAATGTGACTGTATTTTCTATATTTTGATCTGTGGATTCTGAGACAAATGGTGACTTTCAGTGGTCTGAGCTATTTAGTTTCTTGTCCCCAATACTTGTCAGTCTTGACTGTTGCAGGATATGCTATTAAAGATGTCAAAATACAGCAGATCTGTCAGTGTTTTTAACAGCTACAGAATGACCTTTATTTTACACACTGATTACTATATCAGGATGGTGTCAAAACAACAGGAGTATTAGCCCTTACAGTTGCCCTTGCACATGCTGCTGTAGGTGCTTTTATGTCTCTCATCTTTTCAGCTTTTACTTGTCTCTTTGCCTTTGTTATACCCAATACTGGAGAGTCATACTAGTTTGTCTTTCTGTGTGAGCAGGTTTTTCCTTTTTATCTGGGAAAAGGAGGTAGTTTAGGGTACAAGAAATGCCAGTGGTGACACTGAAGAAGTAGCTGGGTCGGAAAAGCAGGAGGAACAAGTTCGAGTAGGTGATGGTATGGCTACTCGTGCTGTTCACTAGCTCTCTTCAAAACATCGTCTCCTAAAGGTCCATCTGTGCTGTGTTGGCAGGCTGGTGCACTCGCCTGCCTGCTTCCCAAACACTGTTAATATGGCAAAAACTAGGAGTATCATATGGATCTAAGAAGGGGCACATTCAAAACAGGTGCAAAGAGGTGGCTTTTCTCCCTGCATGTGGTTACACTGTGCAACTTCTCATGACGGGTCCATGTTGGTGTGAAAAGATTACAGAGATGCAGAAAACGACCACGCAAATCTACAGTGAAAGCCCACGGCGGGATCGTAAGCACAGGACACTGATTCTAGCTTGGGATGCCTGAGATGCAGCTGACTAAAGGCTGTGAGAGCGAGCCCCACACCTCTGCAATCTTTTTGTACTCTTCTGTTGGCATTTGCTGCGGATTGTCCTTGGAGCCTGAAAATTTGTCTAGATGGATCCTTAGCCTTAGCCATTACAGCTGTTGGCTTCTCTTTTATGGCAGTACATGGAAGCTGGTAGAGGCTGTAGCAGAGGGTGGAGGGTACGCTGCCTAGGCTGGCTCTGCTGAGCTGGGATGCTGGTGCAAGTCCCGTTGACGTGGCAGCTGGCAGAGTGTGTGTCTACCTGCAGAGGAGCGGATAGCAGTACCCCTTTCTGATCAGGTGCCCCTTCAGCTTACCTGCTTTCTTCTCCTTGGCGCCGTCAGTGCAGCAACTCTTGGAGGAGGGAAGTGACCCCTGTGCCGCGGACGACAAAGGCCGGACAGCCCTGCACTTTGCCTCCTGCAATGGCAACGACCACATCGGTGAGTGGGGAGGGGGAGTTCTGTCTCCCAGCCTTTCTGTAGCAGAGATTTTGAAGGATGCTCTTTATTTTGATTCAGCACATGACAGGTTGCTGGTTTCTGGGTGTTTTGCAGCTCAGGGTTTGCCATGTCCCAGCTCTAGGGCTCTGCTGATGCGGAAGGAAGAGTGTCCTTAGTCCCTGTTCTTCCCCTCAGGGAGCCCAGGGGCAGCGGCAGTGCCTGGCTTTGTGCTGGGTCCTTCTGCATTGCTGTGCAAACCTCTGTCCCCTGTTTCTGGGAGGAAATAAATCAGCTGAACAGCAGCACCCATAAGGCAGCCTGGGGGCTGCCGCGTGGACCTGCAGCCCATGTGGGCCTGACCTGTGGGGCAAAGGGAAGGCACTGATGTGGCTCCGTTTCTTTGTTTCCAGTGCAACTGCTCCTGGACCATGGGGCTGACCCCAACCAGAGAGATGGGCTGGGAAACACTCCCTTACACTTGGGTAAGTGCCACACAGATGAGCTTTGCATGCAGAAAGGTGAGGAGAAGGCTGCCTTGCTGTTCCTTTCCTCTCCACCATCCTTCTTCCTGTGCATCACAGTATGCATCCCCAGCTTTAAGGACCTAGGAGGGACTCTGTGCATTTCATTAGCTTCACTCCTCACAAAGGTTTAAGGGTCAGAGTTTGGTAAAATCAATTTCCCTCCTGCCAGCCCCAAGGAGTGTGAGATCTGTTCCAGAGAGAGTACCCAGGCTTGAATGTGAAGTTACCGTTAGCAGTTGGGCCTGTTCCTCTTGCCCATGGCAAAGAGCCCTTTGGGAAGCAGCAAGCTCCACCTCCACGCTTGAGCAGAAACTCCTTTATTATTTTCTAGTACCTCTGAGTTGTGTGTCCTGTGTTTTCCCTCCCCAGCTGCCTGCACGAACCACGTTCCTGTCATCACCACACTGCTGCGCGGAGGTAACATTTCCTCTATAACAATTACAGCCTGTCCCTTTCCTGCCCTGCCCCTGTTTACACTCTCCAGGGACACCAAGTCTTGAAGACAGACCTCACTTTCTGTCCTTGCTCATGCATCTTGCAGGGGCCAGAGTTGATGCCTTGGATCGAGCTGGCAGAACCCCGCTACACCTTGCTAAGTCAAAGCTAAACATCCTGCAGGAAGGACTTTCCCACAGCCTGGAGGCCGTACGCCTTGAAGTGAAACAGGTAAAAGAAATAGTCTCACGTTCTGGTACGGTGATGCAGCCCCTGGCAGTCTCGTGCACCCTTTAAGGGTCAAATATAATTTAGCAGCTGTTTTAAATACCTGTCTGTAGGCTCTTAGCTGCTCTGGGGAGAGTTTGACATTTCCTTCTTTTTTCAGAGACCTTCTTTTTTCCCAACCACTACTCTGAATTTTTGCAGGACCTCTCTTGGCTCTGGTAGGCCAAGAATGCTTTGAATGTCTTAATTCTCGGGCTGTTTGGAGCACTCTTTTTTCCTTCAACCACCAGATGCCTTGTGGCAGGAGCGGGACCACAGCATGGGGCTGTAGCTGTGGTGTGCACATGCAGGGACCATGCATTCCTAGCACAGTCTGCCCTGCTCTGATACGTGGAGGCATGGAATAGGAAAGCAGTCACGGGGCTACATCACAAATGCACGAGGTGCGGGCCCTCGCTTCAGGAGCAGTGTAGAAGTCACAAGAATTTTTATCCTCTGGGCTCAAGTGGATCCTGCTGGAGTGGGACGTCCTCTCTCCTCACAGTGAGGGAAGCTAGCTAGCCATAAAGAAAAGCTTGGTGCTGCCAGGGCTGGACCTTATGCTTCTTCAGCTGGGCGTCTCTCTCTTCCATGTTCTTAAACCAGGCACAGGGATCACGACTAGTCCATCTGTGGCTGATCAAGGCCTCTGGTGACTTACTGGGCTCTGAGGCTGCCATTAGTGCTCTCCACTTGCTTTGCATGTGTTCTTCTCTGTGGGTCATGTACTCTGCCACCTCCCACAGTGTCAAGGCTGCGCTTGGCGATTTAACTGCAATTTAATTTTTCCTGTAAAAACATCCCAGCCTGTTGCAGCTGTCTGAGGTTTTGCTCCTATGCCTGTTGGTTTCAGATTATCCAGATGTTGCGGGAATACCTGGAGCGACTGGGGAGGCATGAACAAAAGGAACAGCTGGATGACCTCTGCTCCAGGTTACAGATGACGAGCACAAAGGAGCAGGTAGGCAGCGTTGAGCTACTGTGACTTGCCTACTCGTGTTGTGAATTCTGCGTTTAGGAGAATGCAACTGCGGGAGCAGGGTGACGCTGAAGACGTGATTGTGGAAGTATTCTTGCTCACGTTGGGTAAAGTGGGCGAGTTCCATGATGACTCGTGGTACTCCTTTAGGTTGGAATTCAAAATGCAGAAAGCATTGCCGTGCCCAGCAGTTCAAGCAGAGAAGGTGATGGGCTGAGGGCACAGGTGTTTTAAGGCCAGGATCAGCACAACCACACAGGGTAGCAGGGCCTGTTTGTGGTTGATTTTTTTTTTTTTTCTGTACAAAAGATTGGCCCGTAGAAACAGGCTTAGAGGAAACCGCCCTGTTGCCATCGTTGATTTCTGGGTAATGCAGCAACATGCTTCTATTTTAAGGACTGGCTAGATGGCATGAGGTGGAGGTCAGGCATCTGCCTGAGGAACGCAGAGAAGCTCCCGTTGCCTTAGAATAGGACTGGCTTGATCGTGAGGACAGGAGCCCTTCTACACGATCGTGGGACCAAAGGGATGCTGTCCTCACATCAGCCCAGCGTGGGCATTACTGGCAGCCCTGGTGCAAGGGTGGTCCCTGCTCCACAGGGGTTTCTTCTAGGGTGGTGGGCAACTGCACAACTGCATTTCCCTACGTAACGGCCAGCTGTATTCTTCTGGCAGGTGGATGAGGTTACAGACCTCCTGGCCAGCTTCACGTCGCTCAGCCTGCAGATGCAGAGGATGGAGAAGAGGTAATGGGCTTCCAAATGCATCTTCCTGATGCAGCAGGAGAAATCTTAGAGGGCAAAAGAGGGAGCTGAAGCTTGCTTCCCAGATCGCTGAATAAACTTTGCTGCCAGCGGCCATTCCTGCCAGATCCACGCTCTGGTGGTGCTCAGACTGATCCTGTTCGTGCTGCCACAACTGCCTCATGGGGGGCAGCAGGCTTTGGACAACAGAGATGACAGACAATAGAGTGCTGCAGCTGAGACCTTTGGAAAAAAATTGCTGCTCTTCTTTTTACCCGATGAGCTGGCGCTGAATAGGATACCCCTTCCAGAGCTATTTTGCCTTCTCCTAACCACTTCAGCTTGACGTAGGTGGTGGCTGATGCCATGTGCAGTCACCAGCCCTGACTTGTGCACTCAGCAGCTGGCCAACATCACAGAAATGCTTGGAACGGGCACCTTTTGCCACCTCCACAGTACTCGGTTGCATGGGGTAGAAAGTGGATGCCTCAGACAACAGAAGGCTTTGTGCTGTGAGAAGAACACACACTTAATTCTGCATGCTAGCAGCTGAGCAAACATACTGCCTCAAGAAACATGCCCTGAGGCTTAATCCTAACCTTCCCCAGAGCCCGTGGTCGGAGGGCAGAGAATCTGTGTGGCTACAAATGGGATACAAAGCTTTTTAATCACTAGACTAACAGCTTTCAGGGGCCCTGGTTTTTAAATCACTGCTGCAAGTTAGTGATTAAATACTACAGTGAAACATTTGCAAAGAATACCAGGGTAGACAGCTAGCAGGTCAGCGGTGCCCTGATGCAAGAATAAGGTTTGGGGGGGTGACTTGATCCTAGTGCAGTTTTAGGCAGACATCTGCATCTTGCAAAAAAAAAAAAAAAAACAACTCCACCATAAATGAATTTTGTGTTTCCTGTTACTGGCGGTCTTGGGGCAAGAGGTCCAGTTGCAACTGGAGGTGATGTGTATTCAGCTGTAGTATTAGGCTGGGATGGAGGTGGATTTACAGCTGCCTCAGGAGCACCAGAGCTGACCCGTACTGTGTTTCTTGCTTGTCATGGAGAGGTGCTGCTCCAGGACCTTCAGTGCAGCGTGAGGAACGAGCTGTGACCTCTGCTGGGAGCCTGAAGTGGTGCAGCTATGAAGGATGCAGGGAATTGCCCTTGCTAATCTCTTGCTTCTGCCCCACTGTGGTTAGTAACGCAGATGTAGCTAGCTTTGTTTTGGAGCTGGGATCCATAAATCTTGTTGTAGGGTGCAAATAGCAGCAGGGTGGCAAGAACATGCCCGATAGCAATCAGAGTTCCCACCTCTGTGCCACACCTAAATGACACGGTGTGCTGGTAGCGATACCCACCCCACAACTTGGGAAACGCTGGTTTGGGGGTGTTTATTCTTAGGGTTCAGCTTAACCATGCGACAGCCACAGTCTGGAGCGTTCTTCAGAGGCCTTCAGGTGTTCTCTAATATTTGGCCTCTTGTTCAGGAAGAGGCTGAGCGGACCTCCACGTTCAAAGCTGAGATACCAGAAATACTCATGACTTTTAGGTGGGTTCATCCGCAGGGTGGTGGAGGCCATGACTGGGACTAACAGTCTCCAGTTTGGCTGGAGCTGTCACTGTGAATACCGATACTTCGCTGCGATATGCTGGATGGGAAGGATACTGAGGGGGTGGGAGACAACCTGACCTTTTTGTATTTTGAACTTCAATAAAATCCCGTCAACCTTTTGGGATTCCTCGGCCAAGTTCTCTTTTTCCGAGTGGTTCACTCTTTCTTTACATATGCTCCAGGCCCCACGCACGGCGCTGGATTTGGTCACTGCTTCTCTCATACCTGGTACTGAAATCAGAAGTGGCAACACAAAGTTGTTCAAATGCCAGACTGCAGATCAAAGTATGTGGTTGGTGACTCACCTTCTGATCTTGACTCCCATGGCCAAGAAATCCAAACTTTTAAGTCTAGTTAGTTGCTGCGAAACAGTACAAATAGAAGAAGGAGAATCTCAGCGGGATTGCTTCAAGCTGGAAGATGGGATGTTTTGCAAAGAAGAAAAGCAGCCTGACCCATTCTGTACTCCTGCAAAAGCAGGGAGCTGATGGGGAGAAGGTGGCTGAACTCATGCCTTGCCCCATGCCAGATAAGATGGCTGTGCTGTAGAGGGACGTCTGGGCAGGGCAGAGAATTCTTAGGGTGGTTTCTCTGTGAGGAGCCGGGTGACTTTCATGTCCAGTCTTTACTTACCTTGTTTCTTCCTGTCTTCACAGCTGAGTCTTGGTATCCACATACACCCATCCGCCAGCGCTTCTGCGCTCAACAGCCTTGTTGCTGAGGAGACCGTTAAGATGCCCGAAGAATAGGCAGCTCAAATGCTCTTTATTCCTGCAGTTACCTTTGCTGATGCCGTCTGCTAACTAGACACAGCTTGGAAGCTTTCCTCAAAACCCACCATACACCTAGCTGGGACGCAGAAGCGAAGCTTTTAGCCTTGAGCACACGTGATGTTGTTGTCCACGGCTCTTCAGGCCTTTGTCTTGCCTGGTGCTGGCGTTTCCCAGAACTGCTCCTGACTGCACGCTCGGGGAGGAGGGGGGAAAGGTGGGGGTGCTGCAGCCAGCCAGGAGGAATTGCCTTGCCTTTTTTGCAGCGCTGCTCCTTTCAGGGGAGGTGAGGCAGCGCAGGCAGTCTCCTGGAGACTGGCACAATGAACTGAGGCAAACAAAATGAGCAGGCTTATAGGAAGTTTTGCCACCGCTTTAGCGGTAACAGCAGGTAAGAAAGAGAAAAGGGGGTCTGGTTTTCAGTGGGGGGAAGAAAAGGCATCATTTAGGAATCATATTCTCTGAATCACCGCAGACTGTTCTGCTTTCCTGCCTCAGGGCTGAAGCACTGGGCAGGTGAGAGCCATGTCATGTGTTTGGCACCAGACTGTGAAAAGTTTTAGGTTTCTTTGTGTCAGCCGGTCATGCCAAAGGCTTGACTATCCTGCTGTGCTCAGCAGCTGTATCTAGAAAGAGAGAGGTACTGGGGAGGGAAAAAAGGAAAGAAAAGGTTCCAGGGGAGGAGAAGAATGTGGCTTCGTGCTGTGCTGAGAGCTGTTCACTGGCACTGTGTGTTTTTTCTGCTGCTCCTGGCCTAGAGTCCAGCCTCTCACAGCAGCTCTTCCCCCTGCCCTTGCACCCTGGGCCACAGCTCTCCCTGCGCAGCCCATATGGGTGAGGCTGGTGGCAGCTTTTTGCATCTCCTAGAGGTGTCTGCCGCAGTAATGAAGAATGAAAACAGGTTTCCTTCTGCTATTTATTTTGCCAATAAATTCAATCTAACCTTCTGATTTTCCTTGTGCTACGCCGTCAAACACACCTCCCAGGTCCCTTTCCCAAGCAGTGGTGCATCCGCCGCCTCAGGGCCACGATGTCAACCAGGACTTGACCCAAGGCCTTGCTTGTCCCTCGCTGCTGTCTGGCCTGCAAACACACTCCATTTCCCTGCTTCATTCAGAGCACAGGTCTGCAGTGATGTGCTGAATCCCCAGCCACTGAACCCAGCAGCAACCTCCCCATCTTTGCAGCCACTGCTGTGCTGTAAGACGCAACCAAAACCAGCCAGGTTGAGGATCTGGCTCATCCAAGCCAGTGAAGACTGAAAACCTGCTTGCGTCTCGCTGAGGACCCACGGCAGAAGAAGTAACAGCCCTGAGCAAAGCCTCCCAACAAAGCTGCAGGGATGTTATCGGGCAACAGGCCTTTCTCTGAAGCAGCCGCTCACCAGTGCAAGCGAATGCAAAGCGCACGCTGCAGTATGTGCAAACATGAGGAATCTGCTCAACTCTTCAGCAGCTGAAATAATTAAACTCCAAGGTATCATGCCAACACATGAACTCCCTCACTTTCTCCACCTTCGACTTTCTAGCAGACTCCAAATCCATCCCTGTAGTTATCTGCTCTGCTAAAGAAAGAAGCTCCACGAAGCATCTCTGACAAACCTCTCACCCTTTCATCTGCTTCCTCCACTCCTTCCATGAGCAAGACAGAGCTCTTCTCCTTCATCACAGAATAGTACTTGCAGAAAGATGCTTTCTTCGTGTGCTGTGCCTGGCTAGTGTGGGAGAGCAGCCGTGGGAAGCTCGGGGCCCGTGGGGCGACTAGGTGGAGGGGCCAGCAGTTTTGATTAGGAAGCTGTTAAAGGAGATACAGCAAATAGCGTTCCTCTGTTTTTTTCCTGAAAGCTGCGAGAGGGGAAGAGAGCACACGGTTGTTGGAAGAACTAAAATAATCAGCTGGCAACCTGCTAAGGCTGGTCACGGATTAGGAGCCAGCGGCTAAACCCAAAAGCAAATAAGCAGAATTTCCTATAGCTCATAGTGCTGCGTGTGCCCTGTCTACCCCTGGCACACCATTACTTCCCTGCCTGCGAGCTCACACGGCTGTCCTGGCTGCTTGCAGAGTGTCTGCGCGGGGTCCCGTTCCCACCAGCGCAAGGGGGAAACCCAGGCAGCACTCGAGCCTGCTGCTCTGCCAGGGAATTAGGAGCTGTCCTCCTCCCGGCTTTCCATCTCCCCCAGCCCCATGTGTCTGCAGACAGGGGAAGCCCTGCCACCCCAGCGCTGTCGGATTTGCCCGCAGGGGCCGAAGCAGGATGAGCTTCTCGGCACCTGGGTCTGACATCTTCCCAGCAGCATCAGGCCCACAGCACGCACGCTGGGGAGGTGCCGGGCACCAGGGCCAGCACACAGCTGGCAGGGCTACGTTTCTCCTCAGATGGCAGCTATGCCCGGCTTGCAGGGGAGCTAGTGCCAACCACTAGTCACAGAGCCCTGACCTGCTCTCACCTCTCCGGTTCCCTCTGCCCAGCGCCAGCTCCCGGCACGGCTGCCCTCAGCCCGTGTGGCAAACTGGCCTCTGCAGGGTTAAGGCTGAGCTCATCAGCCTGGGTGATGACAAGTAGGAACGAAAATATAAGCAAGGAGTCATTAATTAAGGCAAGAAGCTGGGAGCGGAGACTGCAGAAAGCTAATCAATCTGGAGGGGAGGCTGAATGGAAAGCAGCAATCAAGCTCCTTCAGCTTTAATTAAACCTGGCTCTATATCAAGGACATGACACCTTTTCTTCACCTCTGCCTTTGAGTTGAGAAACCAGTTGGAGTGTATACGCTGTTACTGGGCGGACAGGAATTCCCTCCTGGCTCTGGAGCCTCCCCAGCCCAGGCTCAGTGTCTGCCCTTCCCACTCACGGGCTCTGCAAAATTGGGGCTTAGCACCAGGCAGAGCTTGGGGATGGGAGTCAGGGCTTGCAAACACTTGCCATGCTAAGCCCACCTTCTCCCCCAGGTCTCCTCTCCGTCTTGTTTTATTTAGGCTTCACCCCAACGTGCAGCAGTCAGTCCCAACCTGATCTGCTCCTTTTGCAAGCCGGGGCCAGAAGCAGGATCAGGGGTGAGCAGCAGCCCGGCCGCGCGTGGGCAAGAACAGGCAGCGTGGGGCTGTGCCTCATCGCTGCTCCCGACTGCCCGTTCCCTTCTACCTCCAACGCTTCGGACTGCGAAGTGAGTCCTCACCCACAGAAGTGATGTATACATTCGTGTTACCCTGAGGCTGCTTGAGGCCCTGTGAGCTGGCTGCCAGCCACAGTGTTTGCTTGCAAAGCGTGGCTGCGGGACTAACCATCCCCGGGCAGGTGGGCAAAGCAGGCTGGACACGTTTCCGAAAGCCATCGGCTGCAGAGGAACAGCAGCCACCACGGAGGAAAGGGAGCTGGCGAAATCAGAAAGAGGGATAGGAGGTGAGGGAGGCTCAGGGTGCAGACAGCAACATCAAACACTTGAATGGAAAAAGAAAAATAATTCCCAGAGCAGCAGCACTTCAGCTGGCCTCCGCACAGGGAAAGAGGTGTCCTTGGAGCTGAGCTCTAGCGAGGCGTGCAACAGCTTCAGCAGGGGTTAGAAATACCTCGTTGCCTGGGAATTTTAAGAGCAGGCAGGACAAAGCAGCAAGTGAAGATTTATGCAAGCAGAAGCAGGAGACAGAAAGAGGAGAGAAATAAGGGGAGGCTCATGGCTCCGCTCACGCACATCAACAGCTCTGCAAGCACCTTGCTGCCTGACGCCCCCCAGCCCCGCCGTACAACGCCTGCAGCACTGAGAGCATCGAAGGGCACGGTTAGGGCCAAAACACCTTTACTTTTGGCGCAGCCTCCAGCTCCTCGCCCAAGGTCCCGCCCTGCATGGGGACAAGCGAGGACACCGGCAGCTTCCGCAGCCCGTGCGGGGCTCAGGACACCACCGAACAGGCTGCCCAGCCTCCAACAACTTGGTGTTTGATGCAGCTTCACACTGGCAATCGGCTCCCCGTGATCAGCCGGCTGGCAGGAACTGGCTCCTCTCTGCCAGCTGCGGCTCCCCAGCATTAGCTCCCTCGCTGTTTTAATTAGCTAGAAAGCAAGGAGTGTGATCCCTGCAGATTTCCAGACTGGTGTCAGCCACAGGACCCAGTCCTCGAGTCCCGGCCTGGAAAGTCAGCCCAGAGGGCTTTGCTGGGAGGGGTATCTGCATGCATGTGCTGGCTGCGGGCAGCGGGGCGTGGGGAAGTGAACTGCTGTGGAAGGAGAACCATCTGCCTCCTTCAGGGCAAAGGTGTGTTCACTCTGAAGCCTACTGCTGCTGTGATGATCTGTAACTGTTTCCCAGCTTCAGTGTGGAAGTCTGGAGCGTCCCACAATGTCACTGCTTTCACTAAACACTTTTCTTTTGCCGAGCTTTCCCACTTGCATCCGGCTCTGAGGACATTACGAGTACAGATCTGCCTCGTTTAAAGAGTTACATACTCAGGAGCCACACAGCGCTAATTGTACGCCGCGTGTAATTAAGGAAAAGGAGGGCTGTTGCAATCATGTAAAGTTTACTGTAAATATTGAGCTGGAATGGTGGCAGGTCTGCTGATTTGTGGCTGAGGCATCCCGGGCCTGGCTGCAGGATTGTGGAGGAGGAGGCCGAGGAGCTCTGTGGGTCTTGAGTTCAGTTTAATGGGTCTGAATGAGCAAGCTCATCTCTTTCACTGCCAACAGAAAACCATCTCAGTGGGGATAAGGTATGGATCTGATGATCCTGGCCTCTCCCAGAGGAAAGCAAAGTCCCTGGGATGTGATCAGGAAGCATGATGCTAACAGATTTCTCCCTCACTTCTCTCCATGGAGGTCCTTCCACAGGCTGGCCCCTTTCCCTTCCTCAGGGCTTGCCTTGCCAGCAAAAGCAGTCCCCTTCCCGCCTTGCAGTCTCTCAGGTGACTTGTCTTTTTCCCATTCCTATGGCTTCTTCCTGGTCTTGACCTACAGCACCACCAGAAGCTCCCAAGCCACAGGACCGAGGTTCAGGGGCTACATCTGCACACGACAGCAAATTAAGCAGGATCTGTCCTGCTTGCACTCGCAAGCCAGGTGGCATTGCACAGCTGGTGTCCCCATGGCAAAGCTGTCTCGTCCCCCACGGAGAATGGCCTCAGGCAGCTGCAATCACCTGCAGCACATGGACTTGGCACGGTGGGGAAGCCGAGTACCCCTCCTTGGTCCCCTCTCCCTTCTCCACTCATGTCACGACGGAGCTGTGCGAAGTCAGCCACGTGGCCGGACCTGGCTCTGCCAGGCACCGCTGCAAATCACAGCAGTGCAGCAGTGCAAATCCCACCAGCCCCCTCCCTCACGTTTGCGCTAGGCTGATCAAAGGCCTTGCTTGGATGGTGTTTTTCTGGGCTCCTCTGGCAGCCCGATGATGCAGAAAAATGCGGGTGGGGGTCCAACGCGGCCAAGTGACACTCGCCCCAACTCCAGAGCAGTGTGACACTGCTGGGCTGGGGAGGAGGCTCCTGCCGAAATGTGGGTGCTCTGCCAGCACATCTCTTCCTGCCTCCCTCATCCCCTTTGTCCTCCCTTCTGCCCTCTGCATCTAGCCCCTTGCTCTGCCCTGCCTTCTCACCACCACTTTCTGTCCCTGGGGATGGCTCCTTGGATCTCCACCCTCCACCTGTCCTTTCACCATCCCTCCTTTTCCCTCTCTCCGCTTCGGTCTCTCTCTCCCACAACTTTCTCTTGAACACCAGCATTGCTGGATCTGCCTTAAAACCTTCAGCTTTGCTTCTTCTGTACACTTCTGCAGTGTCTGCAAAGTCAAATAAAACAAATTACGCCCTGCTAGTGCATTGGGAGCACCAGACTGTGGTCAGACGGCTCACACAGCCTCCACTGCCGAGCCCCATGCCGGGCAGAGATTGTATCCAGCACGCAGCAAATGCAGCAGGCAAAGCAAATTAACCAGGGTTTATTTCGGGCAAGCAGGGGAGAAATTCCAGCACCTTCTGGTGATCGTGAATTTTGTCCCACCCTGCCATCCCCGCGGCACTTCCCATCCTTCCCACTGTCAGGCCAGGGGGATGCTTGGCCCCGCTGCGAGGTGTTGCTGAGCTGTTACTACAGCCAAAGGCTCCTCCACAGCTGCTCGGGGCAGCAGGGACAGAGCGGAGGAAAGTTTTTCTCCCAGGTGGACAGGGGTCCTACAGTGATCCCGCAGCAGTGGCCGTCTTGGAAGATGTCCCAACCCGCTGAGTGGTGTTGGCCTCACGCTCTCCTAGAAACCGTCTTCATCAGGTAGAAAGGGGAACTGAGGAGACAGGATGGAACTAAGTGCACATGGGTGTGATGGGCCTTTTTTTTTTTTTTTTTCTCCGGGAGCATGAGGCAGAACCACCTCACACCTTTCTCCTTTGCCTCACCCCACTTGTCACCTGGCTCCACAGCTCATTCTGCAGCTTGGCTGCTTTCTTTGGTGACAGCCACCAATTCACGCACAGCCGTCATCATTACACAGAAAAAACTGTCTGGCTAAGTCAGTAAGCCACACACGTGGGGCTAATATCACTGAATAACGTCACTGCTCAGAGAGAAACATGTCCTTCAGCCCCAGAAGGAAGGGATGAAACTCTGAGTAGCAAGCAAAGATCAAAGAGGAGGCAGCAATCCCTCAGGAATTTGCAAAAGGCAAACAGAAATTAAGCAGAGGGGCAGATCAGGTGGAAGAATGTGGTGGAAGGAGGAGTTACTGGGTTTGTTTAGGAAGAACTGAGGATGGCTATCAGGAAATATTTCTGAACTGCAAGCAGCACTATGAATAGGGACAGTGTCCTGCAGGATCTGCTTGCAAGTGCTAAAGCCAGGCGGGACAGAGCTCCAGGAAACATCCTTCAGCAAGTACTTCTGGTGGGGCAAGGGTGGAGAGAAGAGGCTGGACAGTTGGTCCTTCCCTCCTTGAACTTCAGAGAAGCCAGAGGTGCAGAGGGGAAGCACGCAGAGGTGTCAGCACACAAGCCTTTCGGTTCTTCACCTGCCGTGACATAAATCACTTGAATACGACTAGTGACCGTTGGGGGGTTGGTATCATCAAGCCTCTGGCTGACTTGCTTGTACATCAGCCAGTGTGGCGAAGGTCCTTTGATCCGGGTGCAGGGGCTGGGAAAGAGGGTGGAGGTGGACGAGGGCTGTCCCCAGCCCATGGGAAAAGAAGAGCACGTGGGCAGGGGACAGTGTTTCACTGCTGGGGGCTGCCAGATACCTTATTCACACTCAGATCTCCGTGCACTCTCTCCACCCTTCCCACCCATGCTGCGATAGGCCCTCAACAGGCTGGATTTCCTACCAGGTTGTTTTCATTTTGTATGCCTCCCTCTTAGAGTTTCAAGGTGCTGCTTAAAATTAGCAAGTTAGGAAGTTGGGAAATGGAGGCCTTAAAACCTGGTGCAGGAGTGCCACCCAGATGGCTTGGCATCACATTAACACGTCTCTCCATTCTGCATCTGTCTGGGTGGATCGTGCCGTTCCTGTATGAATGCTGTGGACCAGTGAGTGAAGATGAGTGGGGACAATGGGTTAACCATTGGCACAGGATCTTTCGGTGGCTCTGCTACATCCATTCCCCTCTGCCCCACATTATTCTGCTTGTTTGGGAATGAAGCAGCTACTCACTGGATGGGAAACAGGTTTCTTCACTTTGTTCATCTGCAGTGAACAGTTGGAAACTCCTGAGTTCCTCTTGGAGGGGTCATGCCTAGGGGATGGACAGCTGTTGCCAAACTTTCCTCCTCCAGTAGCTCCTTCTGAACGGAGACCATGGCATCTTGTAGCTGGTGATTCCATGCTCTGGCATGACTGGCACCTTCAGGGTCTCTCTTCCTGGTGTTCTCCTCCGGCACCTGGCTCTCTTCAGTGTTGCCTCCACAGAAACCTCTGGTGCTGTTGGTGAAAACTTTGTCCACGTTGACCACGTGGACTTTCTTTCCAACTCTCTTCTTCTTCCTGGTATTGTTCTGGAAGAAGAGGCAGGTGAAGACCTGCTTGAAACGCTTGCGGAAATGTTTGGAGATGAGGGCGTAGACAATGGGGTTGAGGCAGGAGTTGGCATACGAAAGGCAGTGGGAAGCCAGGCGGCAAGCGTAAGTGGCTCGGTTGAAGGGGAAGTGGCCAAACCAGAAGCACAGGATAACCAGGTGGTGGGGCAGCCAGCAGAGGCAGAACAGGATGGCCACAGCCACAATCATCTTGGTGACCTTACACTTGGCCTTCCGGGACTCCGAGATCCTTTCTATGGGGTCTATGGAGGTCCACAGGAACTTGATGGTCCTGGCATATGCCAGGCTCACCACAGTCACAGGCAGGAGGTATCCAAAGACAAATGTGAGGATGTCCAGAATCTTTCGGCGCCGGTCATCCCAGATGGGGATGCAGATGGGCACTCCGTGGTAATGGACAATCTGGTAGTAACTGATGTAAGGCCCCGCAAAGAGCAGCGACAGCGACCAGATTGCTACAATGGCCACTCCTGCATTTCGAGAAGTGCGGAGATCCCGGGACTTCAGTGGATAGCGAATGGCCAGGTACCTGTTGAGGAGGGGAAGGAGAAGGAGAGACAAAACACAGCGTGGGTGAGATGAGGTATCTCTCCTGCCCGATGGAGTTGCCACCTGTGCACCTCTTCCCACGTAGCCACCCATCTGTCCCCCTCCCCACCCCTTGGTAGGGAGAGTTACAGTGAAGTCACACAGAGATCAGCATCATCCCAACAGCAGGTCTGGGATCTCTGTCAACCACTCAGCTGTGCTAGCCCGGGAAGGGCAGGCAGCATGGCTCTTGAGCCAGGGAAGAGAAGGATGGGAGCAGCACCCAGAGAGCTCCCTCTTTCTCCCGTGGTGTGTTGCTGACCAAACCTCAGCATGTGCCTGCACTCCTCCTTCCCAAGTGAGGGCTGGATAACCAGGCTGTGGGCTTGGCTGGGTGCTGGGAGAGGACACGGGGAGCTGGGGGGGCTGGCTCGGCTGGCCTTGCCTCGGGAGAGACCTTACCTGCTTCTTACAGGACACTCAACCAGGTAAGGACTGGCCTTTCTCCCACCCCTTAAGTCAAGGGTGGCAAAAATGTTGTCCCTGAGCTGAGGGACTCAAAGGGAAGGGGACACTTACCTGTCAATGGAGACGGCAGCCAGGGTGAAGCTGCTGGCGTACATGGTGAGGTAGATCAGGAAATGGACAGCCTTGCAGGCAAAGGCCCCAAAGAGCCACCCATCCAGGGTGTAAATGGTGGCCTGGAAGGGGACACAGCAGACGATGAAGCACAGGTCGGCCACAGCCAGGTTAAGGATGAAGAGGTTGGTGGTGTTGTACTTGATTTGGCCGTTCCGTAGCAGCACGGCCAGCACCAGCCCGTTCCCCACAGTACCCAGGAGGAAGATGAGGGAGAAGATGATGGGCACAATAATCCCCGCTGCTCGTAGCTCTGGGCTGTCGGAAGAGGCATTCCATCCCCCTGGCATTTCTCCATCTGGCTGCAGGGACCTGTGCAGGGAGAAAGAGAGACACAGCACTTGTGCCTGGCCGTAGGCATGCAGGTGCTGGTTGGTGTTGATCACAGTGGCCACCAGAGCTCTGGCCCTAAGGTGCCTGATCCCAGTCTTTGTTTGACACGCGTGTTTCTCCCAGAGACACCAATCCCAACCAGCTGGTTAAATGATGACATCAAGATCCTCATGGTGTCGTTGGCAAGAATGCTGTAGAGATCAGACAGCCCGCATCTGCCTGGCTGGGGCAGAGCCGAAGCCCCTTTCTCCTGCCTAGACTCACATCCCCACCACAGCATCTTCTGTGCACCCAGTCCCTTGAAGGACCCCCTGCTCTGCTGCCTGGTCTCTCCTACATTCCCCCCTACAACCCCAAAGCTCCTAAACCTCTTGGGATCGCTTGCTTTGACAAGTCTAAATTCTGACTGGTGTTCAGCTGGGCATGGCTGCGAGGCCGTGGGGCTCCCATGGGCTGCAAGTGGTCCTGGCACATTCACCTCAGGGCTGTGCCACCTCCGACAGCAGAGACCCGACGCCCGGATGACACCCCCCCAGCAGCAGCACCCCACCACACTCCCACCCCAAGGCAGCTCCTTAACCTGGGACCACCTCCACCCCGGAGCTGGCTGCTCCTTGCTCCCTGGGCAGTAGTTATGCTCCGCAGCGAGGAGGCAACTAAGGGCACCTTTTCCTGATGCTGAGAGGTGGTCACAGGTTGGATGGCGGCAGCTAGGAGAAGATGGGGGAGAGATCTCAGAGCTGCCTGAAACACAATACAGTCATCATTGCCAAGAAGCGTATGATTACCGCAGTTCAAGGTATTGTGATTTGCTGCAAAACTTCCTCCAGCCCTGAGTAACACTGCGCTCAGGAGGGGAGTGCCAACAGCCTATTTCCTAACGAGCCTCCCCCGTGTTGTGCTATATAGAACAAATTATTAATCGGTGAGCAGCAACCAAGAGAGAAAGACAGAGTTATCTAGCAACTGTTGACACACAGTTAACTCTTTTTTGGGTTGTACGAGCTCTTTCACCCCGTGCTCCCCCATCCCTCAGCTCATGCCACTTCTTCCCAGCAGCCTCGCCGTATCACACAAAAAGATCATCCCTGCCTCTCCGGCTCTGCAGTCCCCTCTGTCCTACTGGTAATTACCTGGCCCCGTGGGATCTCCTCACTCAAGCAGAGGACCCTGGTCTCCCTGTGAGCATGCACCTTGCACACAGTCTGTGGGGCATCTCTGGGCACCAGCATGTCCCTGCTCAGGGAGCCCGGGGCCACCTCTCGGCTTGGGAAACCAGCACTCACCTCTCTGAGGAAGGGCCTGCAGCTTCTCTGCTCGCTCGGAGGAGACCTCTGGTCCAGCCCAGGCAGCAGTGGTGAGGAGGACACGGGCCACCGAAGAGTTTGTCCGGGCAGTGCTGTCACCCCTGCCCGGTGCTCCGCTGCCTCCCCCTGCCCTCCGCCAGCTCTGCTCTCTCTTCTCTTGGCTCCCACACACGTCTGTCTCCTTCTGGAGCTCCTCTCCTCTCTCTCTCTCTCTGTCTCCCCCTTTTCCCTCACTCTGCTCTTGCTGCTGATCCATTGATCTCCGCTTTTTTTTCCCCTCTCCCTGAGGTTGGGTTTGGAGTTAACTCCTCTCTGCCCAGCCTTCCAGAGGGCTCAGCTGCTCTCCGCTTGAGTAAGGAGGGGGTGGCAGAGAAAAAGCCTGTTGCTCTCTGGTGGGAGAGGGAGGATGGAAGGGCGCATGGTCCTATGGACCCCAGTGAGCCTTGCAGGCACCCCTCAATGCTGGGTGTTCAGGATATGTTGCCCAACACCTCTGGGGAACATGAATATCCCACCACGGTGAGACTGGCTGCTGCCCCAATCCTTGGGATACGGGTCTACACCCTCTGGAGCACAAGCAATTGATTGCTATTACTAGCTGTCAATAATTAATTGTTAGTAGCACGGCACAGATCAGACCAAGTCTCTCCCACAGTGTCTGATGCAAGGAAGGAGGGGAAAGCGGATTTTGGTTTCCATCCAGCCCAGGTCTGCCCTCCCCCAGCATTGCTGGGCACTGCAGTGTGGGGAGGGAGGACAAGCCATCCAGGGAGGCCAAGTCTAGAGGCTCATCTCCGTCCCACCTGCCCAGAGCACCGCATGTGCTCAATGATGTGCTGAGAGGTGACAGCGACCCGCGCAGCCCTCCCGCCCCACCGCCGTGTCCACCCCCGTGATGTGCCCTGCGGACTCCCAGGGGTGCTGAGACCAAGCGCAGCTTGGTGGCCCTTTCCCAGCAAGCACCTGCCGACCACCAGCTTCCCTTTGCTGCTGGGAATGTCCTGGATGCCTCTTCCAACGGCGGAGCGGGATGCGAGGGGGGAGATGCTGGCCCCTTCCCCTCCCGAGCGGCCACGGGGCCCCCGTCAGCGGCACCCCTCAGCCCGGCAGAAGGGATGATGTGGCCTCTCCTCCCCGCCTGCCCCTCCGGCGGGAGGGAGCAAGGTGTCCCCGCCGGGGCTCGCTATCAGCCGCTGTGACCGGGGAAAAGGGGAAGGCCATGCCTCGGGACGCGACGATCCCAGGGGATGCGGCAGAGGGCAAGCCGGCAGCCCGCCGCTGCCGCTCGCCATGGAGGGACCCCACCGCCGCTGCTTCCCCCCCCTTCTCCTCCTCCTCCCCTGCCTGCCCCAGCTGCCGGGCGCCCTGGGCCCGCCGTTGCCTCCGGAGGAACCCCGGGAGCCTCCGCCGTCCGGCACCGCTGACCCCACCGCCCACCTGCTGCGCGGCCGCCCCTCGGCCCCGGTGCGGCCCGACAGCCTCTCGCTCTCCCCCCAGCACTACCGCTACACCCCCAAACCCCGGCACCTGCGGCCCGGGCGGCTGCGCCGGCTGCTGGGCTCGGCCTTCGACCCTTTCTGGATGGCGACCCAGGAACCCCGGGCCCCGCACCGGCAGCATCCTCGAGGAAAACCTGGAGCTCCTGAGCCGGGACCTGGCGGAGGGCGCTACCGCCGCAAGCTGTGGCGGGAGGCGGAGGGGCTGGAGCTGCCCACCCTGCTGCCCCCCCAGGCCTGGGGTTGCCCCCCCGAGGTGCCGGGGGCCCTGCCGCCTCACCTCCGCCTGGGTCGACCTGGGACCCGTCTTCTGGCCCCGCTGGGTGCGTCGCACCGCCTGCGGGACCGGCCCCCCCCCCGGCTGCTCCTGGCCCCCCGGCATGACCTGCCGCCCCGCGCAGATCACCCACATCAAGCTGCTGGCCTGGCACTGCTGGGCCCCCCGGCCCCCCGGCCCCCCGCACTGCGCCTGGCGGCAGATCCCCTACCCCGTGGTGGCCGCCTGCAAGTGCTCCTGCCGCTGAGGCCGGGGGGGGTGGGTGGCAGGGGGGACCCCCACGGTGCTTTTCTCGCAGCCAAATGGCCTGAAAAGGTGAGCGGCTGCCTGGACCACCCTCGGGGCTGGGGAGCCGGCGGGGGGGGGGGGGGGGGGGTATAATCCCCCAGACGGAGAAATAAACCTACAGAAAGAAAGTGGGGATCGGCTGCTGTCGTTGCTGTTTCTCGAGGAAGCCCCTGGGCGGGGAGGGGGGGAAAACGTAGCTGCTTCGCCCCGCACCCACCAGCTCGGGGAGGCATTAGTGCCGGTGTTTACCTCCAGCAAAGGATGCAGGATGGAAAAACCATGGCACCCGGCAGCGGGCTCAGACCCTGTTTGCATCAGCCCCGGCGGGCTCGGTCCAAACTGGAGCATCCCCGCCTGCCTGGGCAGGGAGCAAGGGCGGAGGGATGCCGGTGGGGAGGGGGTAGAGGGAGGTGGGTCGCAGCGCAGGGTGGGAACAGCGGTGTGGAGAGGGGCTGGAGGGTGTCAGCGGGCAGAGGCGTAGGTTTGGGAGTGCAACCAAGCAGTCTGGTGAGGGTGGAAGAAGTGGGGGGGTGGACAGGGACCCAGGGCTGGAAGCATCTGTATGGAAATGGGATGGGACAAGACAGTCCCCTACATTGAGGGATAAGAGGTGAGATACGGGGATCCCACAGCTATCCCACACGGTGTAGAGGGTGATGGCTCGAGACCCAGGGAGAAGCCTAGCAGAGCAGCATATGGGGTCTGGGGTGGGTCGGCGAGCCCAGGGCGGGAACTGCATCCTCAAAAAGTGGCATCTGCCTCTACATTCCACCCAGCAAAAAAACCCCTCTGCTTTCTGGGCTGAAAGTTGCAAAGAGCTGTAGAACAGACCTAGGTTGGGAAGCCTTGGAAGAAATGAAGAGCTGGAAGCTTCACGGTGCCTGCAGTCAACGGGCCCTGCATTATTTATTTCCAGTGTGCCATTGCCTGACGCTCCTGCCTTCCCTGGGCTCCAGCACTCCCCCGCGCCGCCGTGCAAACCGCAGTCTGCTGCAGAGCGCGGCCTCGGAGCAGGCGGAGAGGCAGACAGAGCATGGCGGGTCGGCTGTCAAGGGGCGTGGGAGAGACGGCGGGGAGAGGGAGGTCGGGGTGCCTGGCGAGGAGAGGAGGAGGAGGAGGAGGAGGAGGAGAAGGGGGGAAGCACACGTGTATAGGCAAGGACAAGTGTGTGCGCCGCAGAGGAGGGAGGCTGCTGCTGCTCTTGCTTGCGGCCGAGCAGCGAGAAGTCTGTATGACTGCTCTCCCGTTGAGGGAGGACTTGAAGGCTGGAGCAGGGTTAAACTGCTTGAGTTCATTGCCCCGAGCGGAGCAGAGCCATCAGCAGGGCTGCCTGCAGAAGCCCAAGGGAGAAGGGGAGGCCTGGGCTGGGGACCAGCAGGAGGGAGGGAAGGGGAGAGCATGGTACAGATGTGCAATGGAGGTGTGCAGGTAGAGGGAGAGGAAGGGGGTGCACGTGCATCAGGCTCAAAACAGCAGTGATCCGGTTTAGGGAATCAAACCCCACTGTACCAGAGCCCAGCTGGCTGAAGCTTCATCTCTTCCAGGCTGCAGAAGAAGCCCGAGCACAACCCCCTGCCGTTTCCCAAATTACATTCCCCATTCCCAAAATGCTACCCTTTGATAAGAGGGGGAGAGTTTGCAGTACCCTGAGGGCCTGGCGCCACAGAGGGAACTCCGTCTCATACTTTATCAGCAGGCTGAGCTCAGGGCCCTGCGGAGATGGAAAATTAAATAAAATCAGCACACAGTAACACTACCAGGTGCTCTAACAAGGTCTGTTGGCAGCCCTATGGAAAACATGTTTCTCCCCTGCCCTCTACATCCCGTAAGGCCCTGAAACCCTGAATTAACTTCTGTATTCTGCAGTTGCTCTGGTTCAGGTCAGACACGTTGTCGCCCCGTAGCTCACTCCCTGCCTGCCTAACGGCAGGTAGCGTTTTCGGAGCAGGTCTGTGCTGATGTGACCCTGTGCTCTGGCACCCAAGCACAGGGCACCCCGATTTCAGCTGGAGCCTCCCCGGCTGCAGGCAGCTGGTACCCAGTTCAGCACATGGGCAGATGGCAGGACACACATCATTTGTCACCTGGAGCAAAAACGATGCAAACAAAGACATCCTGAGAGATGCCCAGCAACCATGTGCTCCTGCTCGAGGGCTACATCGCTACCCCAGTACGGCTTGGAGGAACAAATCCAGAGATCCCAGCCTGCTCTGTGCTCTCTGCTGTGGGAAAATTGCAGCTTATGGAGGAAAACTGCAGGTTTCTGTCACCTGCTCTACCCCCGGCCTCAGCCCCAGGCAGATGCAGGCCCTCTCGCCATGCTGCTGGCTGCTGCTGCTTCGGCTTACCTGCTGCCTGACAGCTTCTCTGGGGTGAGATGCAGCTCACAGGGCAGGTTTGGGAGCGCTGCAGCCATGGGAAAAGGCCTTAGAGCCAACCCTGAGGACCAAGCAAGCTTCACACCCAACACCCAAGAGTGGGAAGGCGAGAAAGGAGGACTGGAGCTTCAGCTGGCCCATGTCCTTTTTCCCAAACCAGCTGGCAGTGGCACAGGTTGCCAAGAGCTTGGCAAAACCCTTGCCTTGGTGGGGGAATACAGCAGGCAGATCTGCTGGGGTGACCATGCTGGACTGACAGGAGACTTGGAAGAAGCAGGCGACCTCAGGCATACCAGCAACCATCAGAGAGCAGGAGCTGTAGCACCCGGGCTGGAGCTTCAGGGAAGACACAGCAGCGCCCAGTCACAGCCAGAGAGGATGATCATGGGCTGCAGCTCCCAGGTGAGAAAACAAGAGCCAAACAAATATCCGCTGCACTGCAGGACACCTTTAATGACACAAGGGCTGGCTGCCAGTGCCGCTGCCAGCACGCTGCAACAGCCACAGCCTCCCACAGGTTGAGGTGCCTTGAGGACCGGTTCTGCTTTCGGCAGCACGATGCTCCATCTTTTTTCCCCAGCACAGGCACTTGATCGTGGGCAGGGAGGGTGCTGGAGGAGGCGTGCACTGGTCCCTCAAGGCAGAGCTCCGTGTTTCCGTCCCACTTCAGTGAAGGCTTCCACGCAGCGGTCGATATCCTCATCGCTGTGCACGGCCGAGATCTGGACCCGGATGCGGGCCTTTCCCTTGGGGACAACGGGGTAGCTGAAGCCAATGACATAAATTCCTGGGGAGGAAACACACAGAGAGTCAGAGCTGGCTGGGACGGAGGGAGGCTGGGGTGGCAGTGGGTGATAGAAAGGCTTTTGGATCCTCCCTCCCTTCTCAATAACAATTTCCAGGCTTCAGGGTTTCCAAGTGGCATCTGCTCCCATGCGTGGAAATGAGGGTTAGGGCCAGTGATGGGGATGGAGTCCAGCATGACAGGACAAGAGGACTAATGTAAACCCCCACACACAAAGAGAAAGGAGGTGAAGCCAGCAACATCTGGGGGGACCATGAGGACACCGCAGCTGGAGGGTATAGAAATAACAGATTTCATGCAGGAAGATCCTCTGGAGGAAGGATGGTGGTGGCACAACCACTGGCTGTCCCTTCCCTCAAGGCATGTGCCTGCGTCCAGAGCTCCCTCCTCGGTTCACCTCTATTCAGCATGTCCTCAGCCATCACTGCAGCCAGGCGAGCGTCCCCGAGCATGACAGGACAGATGGGGTGGTCTTTCCCCGAGATGGTGAAGCCAGCTGCCGTCATCTTGCTTCGGAACCTGATGAAGAGAACAAGAGGATGAGTAAAAAATCGTCACCCCTGTCCTAGGGGTCTGCTGCCTTGCTTTCCCCAGGGTTCCCTGGCCACCGAGGGCTGGATGTGGTTCTGCCCTGCCTGCACCTCCTGTGCAGGGAAGGGATCTCTCTTTTTGGAGGGATCTTCTGCCACTTCCCGCTCCGTGAGACCGCAGCTGCTCGAGGGGCAGCTGTGTCCCAGCACATAAAGCATCCAGATGCGACGCATCTGCCCACACATCGGCCTGACACAAGAGGCACAGCCTGGGGTTTCCCCTGAGCACTCCTTGGCTGTGACTTGCAAATGGCCTTTGTGGCTATCACCGAGGGGGGGGGGTGTGAATAAACACACGTGGACAACTCCTGCCTAACGAACCTCTTTCCCTGCTCCCACCCCGGTATGGCCCCCTCACCGTTGGGTCTTGGCAGCCATGGACTGTGCGATGGCATTGCTCTCCATCAGCAGGTCCAGGGCCTTGGACGCACAGCCCACCACGGCGGGGGGCAGGCTGTTGGAGAAGAGGTAGGGGCGGGAGCGCTGGCGGAGCAGATCGATGAGGGGTTTGGGGCCAGTTGTGTACCCGCCTGCAGATGGAGGAAAGAGAAATGGATGAGGCACGCCAGGGTGAATCTTTCAGAGGGGGGGGCCCTGGATAAAGCCCACCTGTCACCTACAGCAGGAATTTCAGTACAAACCAGGCCCCCCCCCAAAAAAAAAATCACAGCTGATGCCTTTTACCAAGAATTTCCACACTGACCGCAAAGGCAAATGCACAGGGAAGATGACAGTGGAAGGACCACATGGCAGGACCTCCCCTGACCCTGCAGCATGGTCCCAAACTGAGCCTCATGCCACCAGAAGAGGACAACATGCAATTGTTGCTCTATCATTAGGCAGAGGAAGGAAACATCAAAGCGATGCTGTGGAGCTCTTTAGGTCATGGAGGGCCTTGGACAGGAAAACGTCTTCACCTGCAGCTCCTCCAAGAGCTTTTCCCAGGGTGGAGTTGATGATGGTGACTTTGTCCATCACTCCCAGGAGCTCATCGGTACCCCTGTAGAAAAAGGAAGGTTACAGTATGCCAGCAAACACCAAGGAAGCTGCTCTACACCTAACGCCTCAAAGGAAATAAAGCGCCACCAGCCAGGTCTCTGGTGCCCGCCCTTCCACCCAAGTGTTGACCTTCCCTTCTGCAGAAAGGCTGGGCTGGGCTCTCTGGAGGTAAGGGCATGGGTTCTTCCTTACAGATGGGAGAGCGCTCAAGTTTCTCGTGCAGAGGTTTAATAGGCCAAACAAAGCACTAGCTGCCGATGTAGGTCGTGCACATGCCTCTGTCGTGCCACACCATTAGCATATACCAGGGAAAAAGAGTTGCCTGCCTAGAGTAGCTGATGTCCTCTGGGGTGGGCTACACGCGTTACTGATGTGCTGCCCTAAATGCACACAGGCCTAACGCAACCGTGTCAAGGTCTACGCTAGTGGAACCAACCAGATGAGGCAAAAGTGCTCTGCAGCTTCACATCCTCCAGCCCCAAAAGGCAGGATGGGGCACGGCCACTCAGCTTCTCTGTTGGCTCTCTTGAAATGCAACGTTGAAGACAACAGCAGCGGGTTCACACTGAAACTAGCACAACTCATGAAGTGCTTGGTAACCATTCCTTCTTCCTCAAGCCATTGTGGACTTACATACCTCAGCGCAGCCAAATTGTTGTTTTTGCAGCTGGTGGGACCACAGAGCCCACTGGGACAGAGCAACAAGGTCTACCTCAACTCACAGGATGGCCACCACGCCTCAAGGAAGGAAGATTAAAAGACAAACAGACCATCCTATGATTTCTTCCTTATGAAGACTTGAATTTGAGAAAGCTCAGTACAGTTACAGGGTCTGGAATATATTAAAGCTCAGCACAACCACCTCCCTTGTTAGTGAGGAAGTGCCACCTGGATTGGCATCTCTTCTCTTAAAAGATGCCTGCTGCACCATCATTTTGATCCAGTATGAAACATTTGCCATGGCCTTGGTGAGAAAGCGAGGCAAATATTCTTGCTTAGTTCTTGCCTCTCACCCATTTCACAGCTTGATGTGGACTTGCCAGCTTCCCACATGAGATCTATCTAAAGAGGAGAGAGCTGGAAGGAAGCTCTTCATAGAGCAACTTTTGGCTTTTTCAGAGATGGCCTTCTCCTCATCATCTCCTGCACTACCCTTCCATCTTGTTCCTACAGGTGTTGCCTCACATGGGTCTCACGCAACGTATCGCCGGGCGCCCACAGGCCTGAACAAAACAAGCATGTGAAGTGTCTCCTCCCAGCCAACACGTGCAGCAAGTGCACTGCTTGGCACCTGGAGGATCTCCAGGGGATGGAGGGAAAAGCTGCCCTGAGGAATTAGTCAATCTGTGCAGGCTAACTCCGTAACACCCCCAAGACCCAAGTATTTGGAAGTGATATCTGAGCAGATACCGAAAGGATTTGAAAATCAGAAAGTCCGGCTGCTTGCCAGGAGAGGCAGATGAGATGGTCACACCATCCCTTACACACTGAGAAGCAGCTGTCACATTGGGATGGGTCAGTGTTAAAGTATCTCCCTTCGATCCCCTCTGGTGCCCCAAAGGTGAGGTGTGAAGCCTTCAAGAAATGGTGGCGCCAGGAGTCCCCACACAAAAATATGTTGGTCATCAGCACCTCTGGCCTTGCTTCAGAGGTAGTTGGGGTCAGGGGGAGAAACGGGGTTGAAACAGCCACTTACCGGCCATTGGGTCCCAGGAAGCCTGTGGCATGGCATTCATCAATGAAGACCAGGGCATCATACTTCTGGGCCAGCTGACAGATCTCCCTCAGAGGTGCAATGTCACCATCCATGGAAAAGGCCCCGTCAGTGGCCACCAGCCGCAAACGATGTTTCTGTGGGAGGGAGACCGGCATCCCCAGGGGTAAAGATGCCACCCTGAGGAGAGGGGCTGGCAAAGGAGACTGGGACATAGTCCAAATCCTGTAGGGAGTGGATATATCTAACCGAGACGGGGGGCTTTGCATTGCAACCAGCTGCTCCCCCACCTTGCCCATCCATGCCTACCTGTGCGTATCAGCAAAAACGATGCCTATGGCACAGGAAAAGGCAGAGCTCACCCTTTGGGGCTGGTTACTGTGCAGGTAGCACAGCTAAGTGAGCACCCTCGTGTTGGGGTGGGAGCAAACTTCTGTACCTTCGCGTCCTGCAGCTTGGCCTCCAGGTCCTGCATGTCCATGTGCTTGTAGCGGTACTTGTTCGCCTTGCAGAGGCGGATCCCGTCGATGATGGAGGCATGGTTCAGCTCATCCGACAGCACGGCATCCTCTGGGGTCAGCAGGGCCTGGCCACGACAAACAGAAAGGATCATCCTTTGCTCCGGGATGCCACCTCACCAACATCTTCCAGCCTCTCTCAGCGCAGAGGACAAGGCTGCGCTTGACTGCAGCTGCCACATCCCTCCTAGCGCTGCTAAATGTACCACTTTCCTTCCCAGCCACTTTATCCCCTGATTTCCTTAGGCCAGACACCAGCCTGTGGCTTCTGAGCTCAAAACCTCCCTCCCCTTCCCTAGTATAGCCTACAGGAACACCCCTTCCCCCTGCCTCGGCTTCAAAGGGGAGTTTAGACCTCACGGGAAACGGGAGCCCCAAAACCTAGAGCTGGCTGGGGAGGAAGGTGAGGGCTGAATAAACAGCTCTGCGTGGCTCCCCCAGTCCAAGGGCATCACGTCGGGCTTCTCCACCACCAGTCGCTGCCATCTTCTCTGTGGCACAGAGCTCACATCAGAGCCTCTGGAAGGCACATTGCCGTCACCCTCCTCCTCCACACACACAAGGAAAGCCCTACGGACCTCAAAGATACCAGCGTTGGCATCAAAGCAGCTGGCATAGAGAATGGCATCTTCCCGCTGGTGGAAACGCGCAATCTTCTCCTCCAGGTCCTTGTGTATGCTCTAAAAAGAAGAGAGGAGCAAGCGTCACCAGTGGGGCAGCACAAGTTCTTGCTTGCCCGCTGCTGTTAGACACTCACTGCAAAGGGAGGAAAACAGCCGGGTTTTATACAGAAAAGGTGTGCGAGCGTGGGAGCAGCTAGCTGCGTGCAGGAAGCGTCGGCAAACGCAGCTCTAAACCGCGGTTCTGGGTTTGGATTCCAAAAGCGCAGCAGGGAGTCTCCGAGCTCCCCACCCACGGGGGGAGAAGCTCTGAGTTTTCTTTGCACTTAAACCAGCCGCGGCTCCGAACGGGTTCCAGTGGGGATAAACCGGGGTGGGTTTGACAGAGCCGTTGCAAGTCAGGCTCGCCGTAAATGTGACCCTCAAGGGAGGGCAAATTTCCTGAGTCCAGAGGGGTGTTTCATTTCTCTGCCCTCTGAGAGGCTGTGAGGGTTTAAGCTGGCGTATCTCCAGGTGCTTTGGCTAGCAGGGCCTTGGCTGGCTCTGCCACGTGTACCTTAGCGCCGTGCACGCGTGCGAGCGCCAGGAGGGGAGTCCGAGCAGAGCCCCTGCGAAAGGCTCTCCCGGGACAGGGGATGCTGCCCGGTACCTGGGTACCGCAGATGAACCGGACGGAGCTCAGCCCAGCGCCGAATTTCTCGAGGGCCTCCACGGCGGCGCGGATCACCTCGGGGTGGCTGGAGAGCCCCAGGTAGTTATTGGCGCAGAAGTTGAGGATCCCTGCGGGAAGACAGAGGGAGGGAGGGAGGAAGAAGCAACGCGCGTCGCCCCGGGATGGGGGGGGGGAAAGAGGCCCAGAGCCCTCCCCGCCGCCCCGTACGCACCGGCTCCGCCGCCTGCCAAGCGGAGGTGGGGACCTTGGCGGGAGGCGATGATCCGCTCGCTCTTCCAGGTGCCGGCGCCTCGGATGTCCTCCAGCTCGCCCTCCAGCCGCCGCCGGAGCTCGGCCTCCGCCGCCGCCCCCGACGCGGCCCGGGGGGTCCCGGCGCCGCCGCCCCGCAGGGCCCGCGCGGCCGCCGCGCGCGCGCGCCACATCGCGCTGCCCGGCCCCGCCCCGCGCAGGCCCGGGGGAGGGGGCGTGTCCCCCGGCGGTCCAATGGGCGGAGGGGCGGGGCTGGGTTGGGGGGGCGGGGCTGGGTGGGGGGGCGGGGCGGGGGGGGCGGGGCGGGGCGGGGGGGCGGGGCGGGGCGGGGGGGCGGGGCGGGGCGGGGGGGGCGGGGCGGGGCGGGGGGGCGGGGCTGGGCGGGGGGGCGGAGCCGGGCGCCGCCGTGGCGCCGCCCCCCGCTTCCCGCCGGGGTCCTCCCGCTTAAAGGGACTCGGGCACCTTCTTTAGGTGTTCAGGCCCGGCATTTTAGGAGGGGGAGGCTTTGTCCCAGAGGGTTTAGGCACCCCAAAACCAGGCGATTTGGGAATCGCTGGAGGCGGAGGGGTTTGGGGGGGGAACCCCATCTCTGGGATTTAGGAACTTGTAAAGGGGGTGGGGGGGTCATGTACTAGTGCCCGAGGGATTTTGGAGCAGCGGGCCACCATAGGCCTTGAGGATCAAGAAGGCCAGGAGATTTAGGTGACCCCACCTAAGGGATTTGGGGTCCTCAGCACAGGAGGTGGGTGGTTGATGGGTGCCCACCACAGCGGGTGATGAACCAAGGTTCTGTAGGATTTGGGTGCATCCGGTTGAAAAGACCAAGGATCCTTTGGTCTGAGAGGTTTAGGACTTACCATCTGAAGGAGATGAGGCACCTGAGCCCAAGGAATTTAAGTGACTTTGGCCAAAGAGGTTTGTGAACCACAGGCCCACCAGGTTTAGACACAAAGGGTCCAGCTGGATCTGGCATCTCCATCCTTCGCTATAGCTGACTGGGGAATCCGGTGGCCAGAGTGGTTTTGGCCCCTCATGTTCAGGAGGATTAGTCACCAGGCCCTTGAAAGGGGTTTAGAGTCTTCAGTCTTCGGTGGTCTGGGAGCCTTTGGTCCAAGGGTCTTAGGAACAAGAGCCCTAAGGGACTAGGTGCCCCCAGGCCAGGGATTTCAGTACGCTGAACTACACAATTTGGGATCCTCAGTGGCTATAAAAGGCTCAGGCACCATCTGCCCAAGCGATTTAGGATCATCAGGCCAATGGATCGGGGAGGGCGAAGACATTGAGCCCATGAGATTTAAGCACAGCAAGCCCGAGGGGCCCAGACACCCGCAACCCCTGGGATTTCAGAGCTCCTGGCCCAGTGGTTGGGGATCCTGACATCCAAGGAGTTTAGACATCTCTAGCCAAGGGGGATCAGGCACCTCCTTGCCGAGGCTCAGACCCTGCTGGGCAGTGGGGCCGGCCCGCAGGCTCCCTGCCAGCCCCTGCCCTGGCACTCAGACCTGGGGAGCAAAGCTGCTCACAGCCGTGTTTTTGTCCTTTCATCCCAGGGGTCAACCCCCTCCCGCTTTTCCGGGCAACTCCAATTCCGCGAAAGCAACTGTGGACAGACCCTGGCCCCGCTCCACCTTCTCCACCCCATCCCTGCCACCACCCAGCTACGCGGCGGCAGCGGCTCCCGTCCGGGCAGTTATCTCCAGCACCAGACAGACCTCACAGCCAGCAGCCCAGCACACCTCGCTTCGGCCCCGTCGCTGGGAGCCAGGGTGGTAGAGGAGGGAGCTGGCACCCCCTTTTCCTCCCTCTGGGGAAGGCTGTGGCTCTCGCAGCCCTATGTTCCTGCTTCCCCCCGGACACCAGCAGAGTCTTTGCCCAGCCCCGGCTAACACACAACAACCTCCCCGGGGAGCTGGGGCAGGATCAGGAATTGAAATCCTGTATGGCCTCGACGGACACACAGGGTCACCATCACTCCCAACACACAACAAGCAGCCCAGTGCTAAAAAAAACCCAATAGACACACACAAGAAATTTCTGAGACGTCAGAATAAAAACCCAGACCAGTAACTCTTAAAAATGGGAAGTCTGTACCAAAGATGTTCCTTTTTTCTTTCATTAACTGGCTTATTTTAGCTATTTCCAGACAAGAATAGATCAATTCTTTATAAAAAGCAATAGAAAGGGGTAAAAACAAAGGCAAAAGCTATTTACAGAAACCAACGGGGAGAGTATCAAAACGCCTCTAGACTTCTCACTTCTTCTTGGGTGATTTCTTGGCTTTGGGTTTCGACCGCTTTGCCTTCTTAGGCTTGGACGCCTTCAGCGACTTGGCCTTAACAGTCTTTGGCTTCTTGGCTTTCTTCGGGCTGGCCCTCGACTTCTTCCTGACTTTCCTGGTGGCAGATCGACGCTTCTTTGCTGGTGACTTGGCTTTCCTGGGCTTAGCCGCTTTCCGGGGCGACATGGATTTCCTGGCCACCTTCTTCCTCTTCCTGGCGGGGGACTTCTTCGCCTTGTCAGCCTTGGCCAGGCGGAAAGAGCCGGAGGCGCCGACCCCTCTGGTCTGCTTGAGGACGCCGGTGGCGAGCAGGCGCCGAATGGAGAGCTTGATCTGGGTGTCGGCGTGCTGGCCCACCTTGTAGTGGCTCTTCACGTACTTCTGGATGGCCTGGCGGGACGAGCCGCTGCGGCTCTTCTCGGCCCGGATGGCCGCCGCGATCATGTCCGAGTAGGTGGGGTGGGCCGCCGGCCGCCGTGCCACCCTGGCCCGCTTGGGCTTGGCGGCCGGAGCCGGGGCTGGGCTCTCCGTCATGGTCAGCGCTTCGCCCCGCGATGCCCCGCTGTCCCCTCACGGTGGGAAGCCTGGCCCGGCCGGCCCGGGACTCCTGATGCCGATGCCGGTGCCGGTGCCGGTGCTGCTGCCGGTGCCGGTGCCGGTGCCGGTGCCGGTGCCGCCTCTGCGGCCGCGCCCGCCGCGGGCACCCTTTTAAAGGCGCGGTGCGGACCGCGGGGAGGACTGCCCCACGCGCGCCCGCCCGCCCGCCCGTGTCCCCGTGTGTCCCCGGTCACGCCCCGACCCGGACCCGCCGGGCTGGGACGCGGGGTTGGGGGGGGGGAGACAGCGGGGAGGAGGGACGGGCGCTTGGTGGTGGCGGGGAGGGGGGGGGTGGGGGGGGCCGGGGGGATAAGGAAGAGCACTTGGAGGGGACACCGGGTGGGGACACCGGGGGGACGAGGAGGAGCGTTTGGGGAGGTGTGGGATAGGGACAGGGGAGGACACTGGAGGGGACAACAGCAGGGCAAGGAGGAGCATTTGGGGAGACACTGGGGGAGGGGGGCATGGAGGAGACAAGGAGGGGCACTTGGGTGGGGACAAGGACAGACACTGGGAAGGGGCATGGGGGGACACTGGGGAGCGCTTGGGGACGCCGGGGAGACAGGGAGGGACACGGCAGGGACACCCAGAGCAACATCCAGACAGGTGGGGGGGCACTTAGGTGGGATGCTGGGGGTCAGGGAGGGACATTTGGGGGAGAAACAAGGAGAGACGCAGGGACAAACAAGGAGGGACACTGGGGACGACATTAAGGAGACAAGGGGGGACACTAGAGGAGACATGAGGGGGGACACCAAGGAAAAAAGGGGAGCACTGGGCTGAAAATAGGCTCAGCAGCAGAACCCCACAGCCCAATGCCTCTGCCCCCCCCTTTCTCTGCCCTCTTTGCTCCCCACCAGGTGCTTTGGGGATGTCAGCTCAGCCCTTGCATGTGTGTGGTGGGGCCCACAAATAGCAGGCTGTCCCCTTTTTATGGGGGGGACACACAACTCTTTGTGAGGGGACAGAGCAGGGACATGTACCAGTGACAATCAGCCATCCGTCCCCCGCTGGGTGAGTGGTCGGCTGTTCCTGGGAGATTAAACGCGGCCGCTATCATCAACTTGCCCGTAGGATTTAGATGATGTTTTCCCCCCCTTATTTCTTAAAAACACGCGGGTGCAGCTGCCTGGGGCCCGCTGACACGCCGTGCGGTGCTCAGAGGTGAACCCCAGCACCTCCAAATCCCCCAGCGCTTTGTCAGGGCATTAAAATACACAGCGAGCACCTGCCTGTAACCTCGATGCGCAATGGGTGCCCAGGGGCATGAAAACTATGGGCCAGGGACACACAGGAGTATACGTAAAAATATAGATATATAAATACAAATAAATATACAGATAGAAGTTATAGAAATAGAAAAAAAAATAGAAATATTAGAAACAGAAATATTTGATGCCCACTCCCTGACAAACACACGTACTACGTGAAGTTGCCGTGTTCCCCCGTCCTGGGAGGAGGCACTTGGTGCAGTGGTGCTTTCCCACTGGTGGAAGGACCACTGGGGGCATCCCCCTTGTGCCTCCCGCCCTGGTGCTTCTTTTTCACACACTCCGCTTCCTTTGGGGAGCGGGAAAGGTTCACAGCACCTGCAAAACACTTGATTTTATTAAGAGCAAAAAGCTCCTAATTGCAGGGGAATAAGCACATTCCTGTCTCCCCTGGTTTTGTTGTTGTTGTTGGTTTTTTTTGGTTTTGGGTTGTTTGTTTGGTTTTGGTTTTTTTTTGCTTAAGATCTAATGAATACATTGCTTTCCATCCCACGTGGAACACTCGGGCGGTGAGCTATGGTGGCCTCTGTACGACACTTTGACCGGCCGAAGGACCTCTCATTTTTCCTACCCAGGAATAAGCCGCCGTGGCTGGCTGCCCGCACGGAGGCAACCCAGGCACCCGCAGATAAGGCACCATCTGCTTTTATTTGCATCCAAGTTTTTAACTGTCAGAAGTGGCTCGCATGTACACCGGCCTCTGAGGGTAGACAGGGCGGGGGGGGGTGGGGGTGGGGGGTGTAAGCATTGGCCCCAAACCCCCCCAAATTGGCACAGCGCCGCAGGCTGACCGCAGAGCCTCCAGCCTTAAAAACCAGGCAGCCGCTATCAGGGCAGCACAGCGATCGGGAGGCAAAGAGGCGGGGGGGAGAGGCAGGGAGGGAGGAGGGCAGATGCTTTACCTAACTTTAGCCGGCTGGAAATTAGGGGTTTAATCTCAGCCGGTCACCTGGGCAGCTCCCGCAGCCGGCTGGGGCTGCTCAGCCTCCTGGGGTGGGTGCTGCTGCCGGTGGGCAAACACCCCCTCCCCTATACGTGGGGG